TAGAATCTGTCCCTCCTTTCAAACCCTTGTGTTCTTCTGTTTCTCTTCTCTCTTCCTTCTCCTCCTTACTTTTCTTCTGCTTTTCTAAACCTAAAATCTATTAGGGTTCAAGACTGATTGCAGTCTTGATCTTCTACTGAAAATAAAGTGGGACTGGAATTCACATTTAAAGAATTCTTTAATTGTTTTAGTTTGTTCTATTTGTTTATTTATCCAAGTCAGAATCAAAAGGTTTTCATTTCCCTTTGTAGAATGCAATTAAGGGAACCATCTATATAAAAAGGGCAGCCCAGTCCACGAGGATCCCACCTATGTGGGGTCTGGGGAGGGACAGGTGTACGCAACCTTATCCCTGCACATACAGAGAGGTTGTTTCCATCTAAATGATTACCCAAATGGATCTTACCTAAAATAATAAAACTCAATTATTTAATTGAGCGGATTATTTTGTATCATGTATGAGAATTTCTTAAAATTTGCACACTAACAGTGGAAGGGGGCGGTGGCTTCCAAGTATGGAGATCCATAAATGATTGTGTTTCTAAAGCAGTTATTTCATCCTATGGGTTTTCTTGGAAAGGCATCATGAATTTAAGGTGGGAGATGGTTCTGAGATTGATAACAATGTTTTGAAAACTGGACTTGATCTGAGCTCATTGAACCGATTGGAGGGAGTTTTGATCCCCAAAAGTGGCCTGGCTGTCTTTCCTCTAAAAACTTTGACTTTGGCCAAAATTGTTCAAATCAAAGGTCTAGCCATTAAACTGGTCCAACCAGCCACTGGTTCTTGTTATTTTCCATTTTTTTGTGTTTTTTTTTKATATATTTGTAGTGTCATGGTGACATTATATGGTTTGAATGGTCTGAGTTGCTGACAAACCATTCAAACTAAGAACTGCCAGTGTCAACAGTTCACCATCTAGTCCAGTTTTCAATACATTGTTTGGGAGGATACTTGGTGTGGCACTTGTTTCATCATTTCTCTATGTCCAAGGCTATATAGAGTCTCCTTATGTGTGGTAATATTCCTCAAATTTTCTCTGTTTGGGTTACTATATTCTGCCAGGATATTACATAGCACCTACTTTTGTTAAAAAAGCTTAAAGATGACCTTATTTTGCCTAATCACATTAGATGACATTTCTTGAAAGGAAGATTCCAAAAGGAAATTTTCAGTTAGATCTTTCTTAATCAGTCTTGCTAGAGGAGTTTGAATTCAGTTTATTTGAGTTAGGTTTTGATTAACTTATTAAGGGAAGCCTATATCTAGATTCTTGAGGATGGGAGACTGAGAATAAAAAGAGATCATGAAATCCCTTATGAATGAACTACTTTAAGGTCTCTTTAAGATGGGCTCTTAATGAAAAAAGAAGGGATTAAAATACAGTATTTTCTTGGAAAGTTCTCAACTTGGGAAAGATTGAGAAGGACGAAATATAAGAGATCACTTTTGACTTTCATAAAGATAAGGCACTAAGGCCCAATAGTTCCCTTTGGCAATTTTCAAGTATTTAAACATTGAGAAAGGTGACCTTGGACATTTTTATGAATTCTTTGAGGGCGGGGTGGTTGAAGAAGGAATGATTTCTACTAGTAGTTATCAGAAATGTCCTCGAATTTTCGAAAATCAGAAATGTCCTCGACATTTATCCAAAGAGGTGATAAGTTCTGGGGTCTCCTGCATAACTGGTAGTTCAACTAGGGTTAGCAGGTCAGTGTAGTAATTTCTGATTCTATATTCAGAGCCAACCATATGCTTTGTATCATACTATCATGTTACTTCTTCTGTTCTTCAGCCTAAATACATAAATTCTAAGGACAAAAAAATCCTATGATGTGTATGCCCTATATTTGAATACTTTGTGCAGTATATTAGTTCATTTGCATCAGTTCATCACTGCTTGGAAGTGAAGCACGATGTCCAATATTTTTTTTGGCTGACTTGGAGTTCTGAAGAGTAAAGAGATAAAATGATTGGTTTTGCTCCAAGGCTTGAGGTAAATAGAAGTTTTTAACAAAATTTGTGAAATTTTATAGAAACTAGGTCAATTGGATATGGCATTAAACAGAACAGAATGGCAAGACGGGATTCATGCACCCAGCCCCACATGGTTGGGATGAGGATTGGATGATGAACTAAGTTTCCAGTAGCCACAATATGGAACATGGCTAAAAAGGAATGAAGTATGCAAGAAATTGAAACATTGTAAAAGAAAGATTAAATACCTTTGAAATTATATAGCCTTGCCATTATGGAGCCTACAAGTTTTGCCATCAGAAAACCCTTTCAACCTCTTTTGGTTGTTCCAGAGTGTTGTTTACCAATCATTTAGTAGACCAATTTGGATTTGTGATGATGTCAATTAAAATGGTTATTGTCTTTTTCTAACTGCAGAATTTCATAGCCTATGGCACAAATCTCATGCTTACTAAGCATTTTTTAATGTAAAATTTCATAAGCAGAAATACTTTGTTTTGCAGGGAATACTTCATTCCGCTTTGCATAATCAATATTGGAGGTTGATAGACCCTCAAGGGAAACCAACAGGAGTAATGGGGTGGTGGCCATCACGTGCTGTCACATTTTTAGAGAACCATGATACGGGATCAACACAGGTTCTCTCTCTATCATCTACCTAGATGACTTTTGTTGTACATATGTCCACATGCTTTATCCCACTCGTGCATATTTTGTCCAAGGACCTTATGAGGAGAGCTCTACCCTCCTGTCATTCAGCTATTATAAATTTCTCAGTTTCATTAGTACCAAGAAACTGCTAGCATCCTCAGCATTAATTCTATAGATAACCCTATTTCTGAGAATCATACTCTCCATTTAACTAGCCACTTCTTGCACAGCCATCACCTATAATCTGTCAAATCTTCTAATAACTAAATTGTGGTCCTATATTCTTTCTTCTTGCACATTCATTGTTCTTAATTTTACATGGTCAACTCATCTATTGACTTGGATTTAATCTTATAGTTAGTGCTATCTTAAATTCCCTGCATTTGCCTTGTCTTACCCTCTCAAAACCTAAGCTTTGGAATTGTTTGCACAAAGTGACTGCTCTCAGACTGATACCCACATTCTCACACTCGTCAGCTCAAGATTTTACCATTGCACCAAGCAATGGTCCCTCCTAAGACCCTGGATAGCTAGAACCAACATTTGTAATGGTCCTTTTACCTTATCAAGATCCTTACCTCTCATACACTCATTTTTGTGAGTATTTTCAATGGACATGTTGCCATTCAACCTTCTAAATCAAATATCTCCTTGGACTTGCAGCTCCAAATCTATGCATGAAATGACATCATCTTTATTTTCTCCCACTGACATTTGGTATGGTATAAGCATGGTTCGAAGTATTGATACGATAGGCCTCATATCGGGTGTATCGTATTGTATCTTTGGGTCCCTGATACGCTCTATTTAAGGGGAGTTATAAGGTTTTAATAATTCTGTACGTATAAAAGACGATGCAATGCCCCTGTCAAAATCTGGCACCGAACAGGCGAACAGATAGAAAAAGGAGTTTTGATATAGACAAAACTCTTGTGGATCGAGAGTATCAATACTTTGAACCATGGGTATAAGCAACTAAATGGAAAATTATCACCTGGGTGGTATCTGATTACTTGTGATTCTCTTAAAGGTTAAGGAGAAACTCTACAGATAGGCCCAAATCAAATGGCTAAAATTCATCTAATTGTGCTGCTTTTTAGCATGGACAACGTTTCGGTGGGACCCATTCTTTGGTGGATCATAATTCTTGAATTGTGGTAGAGGTGGCATGATAAGCAGGGGGCAGAACTATATATGGGTCCTGTCTCCTCAGATTCAAGAGAGTCGCAATAAACAAGTGTTTATTGTCTATTCTCTTAACATATACAACTCTACCCTTGTTTTCTTTGTTTGCAATTATCCTTAGATTTCATGTTTTCCTTTTATAAACACGAAAGTTTATTACAATCCGTTCTTAACTTTGCTCCTATCGTCCAAGGTCATCTTTGGTTTGAAAGATAAGAGAAATAGAACATTGTGGGAAAGTTCTTAAGGATGTGACAAGAATCTTACAACTTCTTTTTAGGATCATGTGCATCTTTGTCCCCATCTTTTAGTGCCTTGGTATTTATTATATTATGTTTTCAAACTTCATATTGATTTCTCCCATGCTTTTAGGTTATTCACATTGGTAAGCCTAATACAGAAAATATTGTCTTTTACCTTTGGTTCGAGACTGTAAATGCAGCATTCTCAATTAGTTTATCCCAAATTACAACAGCATAACTTAGTTAAGATTATTTCATTCATCAGAGTACACTAACAAATTCAGGTGTTTTTTCCTTGTATTTGAATATAGATGCAAATAAGTTAATAATACAAGGGGATAAATACAAGAATGCAGCACTTGGGGTAGATGTAACAATGACAATAATAAAGATGATTATAGTAATAAATCGAAGCTGCTAAGAGATCAATCGTGGCCCAGATATTATCTAAATCCCATCTAATAAGCAGATCCAGATTCTAAGATACATTGATCAGATTGGGATATATTAGTTAATCTGCATTATCATTGTGCAATTTTATATATTCGAAATGTTTAAGTATAATTGTATTAATAAAAAGGGGAAATCACCTCAATAATTACAACACTAGCCCCTTCGAGATAAAAGGGCCTCTATGTACACCATTTATAATAAAAAAGAAAGTTAAAAAAAAAAACATAAACTGATAATTTGCCTCCATTGATCACAAAAATATTGGACTGAGATGCCCCTAAATTCCTTTCTATTGCATGCCCATCTGACCATGAGCCTCTGTCCTGCTAATCACCGTCTCCACTTGAGAATCTGAGCCTTTGAAAGTTCAGTTGCTTCTTTCTCACCAATTCCTTGTATTTATCTAAGCATTTATAATGACACATGATTTATAGATTGTTTGGTCTGTGAACTTGTCTTTGATTGAATGATCTTTTCTTTCTGCTCAAAAAGATGCAACATATTTGGGTGATTCATTCAAGAGATGATTCATAGATTAGAGGATGAATCAAGAGCCACCTATCTTATCTTTGCACAGGATTGTATCTGTGATCATGATCTTGTATGGATGGGGTTTGGCAAGACCACTTTCATGAGGGTAACAAGCTTAGTTCATCAAACCTTCTATCGGTGTCATTCATGCAATTCAAACCATGATTTTGCTGTAACCTGTCATCCCCATGGGTCCTACCTCAATTTTCTATACATGAAAGCAAGGCACCATTCTCAGCAGTTATTCTGAGGCAATGGTAGCACATAATGTAAAAGTCAAATTGTTAGTAGAATCTTAACATTTCAATCTGAATCTCAGACTTAGATGATGTCCAATTAATTGACACCTGGGGAAAAATTGGCAGGTAAGTTCATATGTCAAGTAGTTTGGAATATTTTATTGACCTGTCCTTCGGTCATAATCTAGCTGATGGGAATCCTCAAATTGACCAATCAATTTTGATGCTCTAGTAACAACTAGGGATGATGGGGCTCACTGGAAACTATGCAACTGAAGCCCTGTATACACAAGTTGTGTGACTTGTGTGGAGATTATACAAGTTTTGCCTACTCCTAAACAATCTTGACTATGTTCCCCTAGTCTATTTAGGCTCTGTTGGGTAATTGTCTTTGATGTGGCTATATTATGGGATTGGGATCCACCTCCTGCCTTGAAGACTTGACCTCTTTGGATTTGTTATGTTGGAAAAAGTTTCTGGAGCTCAGCAATTTCATGGAAAGCCAGCACCAATGACAATGAAGTTGATTTTCTGTTCTTATTTCAGGGACACTGGCCATTTCCACGGGATAAGCTCGCACAGGGATATGCATACATTTTAACGCATCCTGGAACGGTAATTTTTTTTTATCCATGGATTAGCTGTTCTCTCTTGAATGGCCCTGATCATTTATTTTCTTCATATGCATATTCGTAGTATTAAAACAGTTTACTTGATGAAAGTGAAAAAGAAAAAGAAAACTCCATTTTATGGATTAGGACCCCTGGTGAATTAACCAGCTTCATTAGGCTCTATGTAAGCCCTATAAGCTTCATTAGTTTTGCAAATCTAAAAAGCTTTCCATAAAACCAGCAAGCTGACAATTGAGTTAATTGATTTTGTGGAAAGCATTGATCACGTCTTCTTTGGTTTCCTCAGTTGAGGAATTTTTTTGGTAATTCAAGGGATTCTATTACATAGACTTTTGCCACAGTCCAAAACTAATGCATGTCGAAAATGTCAAAATTTAGTAGTTACAAGACATTAATTCTGCCATGTTTTACCCAAAAAAATGCGATCATCTGGCATGGCCCTGGTAACATGCATACCTTCCAGAGAATGACCAAACCCATGTGTAATGATGTTTGCATTTGACTCATGCTTTATCTTCTGTCCATAATTTTTTTTCACAACATTTCAAGATAAATACAATCATGCCATGGAAATTTTTACCTAATTGAAATTCTGTTGAAATTTATAATTGTATTTTTCATCCTTCGAAGTTAAATTTAAATTATAGCTGAACTGGTCAGCTTTTGTGTATAATGAACCTCTGATCGTGGATTTTCTACCTTTACCAATTGTTAACAAAGGTATTTTGTATTTGCAGCCCGTGATATTTTATGACCATTTCTATGATTTTGGCCTTCGCGACATCCTGATAGAGCTGATTGATGCTCGGAGGCAGGCTGGGATCCATTGCCGGAGTTCTGTCAAGATATATCATGCAAACAATGACGGTTACGTAGCTCAGATTGGTGATACGCTTGTTATGAAGCTTGGCCACTTTGATTGGAACCCTTCAAAAGAGAATCAAATGGAAGGGAGTTGGCAGAAGTTCGTTGACAAGGGATCTGATTATAAGCTGTGGTTGAGACAATAAGCTCGATTCACTGGTGAAGTAAAAAAAACAATCTTTTATTTTATAGTGTATAATACATTATGATAATTTATTAATGCCCAGAGAGAAATATATACCTTACCATTAGTATGGACGGACAAGTCATATCAAACATATCAAAGTAGACAGGAAGGGAACTGCTGCAGAAAACTGATGCCCCTTAAAATGGCACTGGACGGCAAAGCCACCATGGAATAATGGTTTGCTTCTGTGGATGTCATGAACTACAAGTCCACAAGGCTCAGGGATCGGTTACATCAAAATGTACCCAACCTTAATCACAGTTCTGAAATGCTGAATTAAGTAATGGAGTGCACAAATGGGGAACGAGATCTAAGTAGGCACAATATAATAGCCACATTCAATGAGCACTTGATAAATATTTTGGCAACTGTCAAAAGTGGTTTTTAATCTTTTTTAAGGGTAGACTGGAGGTATTTTAAGGGGCGGGTGTCAAAAAAATTTTCAAGTACTTGTTGAACATGCTTATAATACCTCACAAGAAAAGAGGTTAAAGGAAAACAAAAAAAAAGAAAAGAAATTAATAAATGATAATCAATGTTTTTGAACCACTGTTGACCCGGATGGTTGGATTGTCAGACCGGTAACTGTCCAAGCAATTAGTTCCATTTTACGCTAAACCCAGCCCCTGATCAAAAACTGTTGAATTGATCAAAGACCCGTTGATCTGGGCGGTTGAACCATCGATCCATTCAATATTTTTTGTCCATTTTTTATTTTTTATTTTTTGTCTGAATGGATTGTTCATTCAAATAGGACAGTCACCCAGAAATTGGTGGTCAGAATGGTTTCGGTCCAGGTCAGTTTTTAAAACATTGATGATAATAAAATAACTGAGATAGCACCTTCAAATTTGGAAGGTAGATCTTTTGGTTCCTCACAAACATGGTTCTAAGTATATCCATCAGAAAGAAAACGTGGTTCTGAGATTCAAAGGGACAATGTTCATGGATAGAAATTGCTTCAAGCTTAGATCCATGTCACTTCTCAAAACTCAGAAGAGTACTAATCATTGAATATGGCCGTTTGTCATAAATCCTTGCATTTAGTGTATGAGAGATCCCAAAAGTTAGTAGTATCGATACTTTGAAGTTTGAACCATGCTTACAAGTTACAAATGAGATTTAAAAGGAAAAAAAGGAACTGTACACTTGGATTAAAATGGGGAAGAAAGAAACTGCAAAGTTGCAGATTCCCGGATTGCCCGTGTTTTTGCCAATTATTAATTTCCATCTACAACGAGCATACATTGGTTCCTATCATGCTCCCCTGCTTTCGTCTCACCACCTCTTGATTTTTGTATTAAAAAAAAAACCCTAAATTTATAAATCCTAATCCTAAATCTTTAAACCCTAGATTTTAACTGGAAAATGCATTTGGTCGAACAAGTTTCCTCCGACCAGATAGGAGCTAAAAATTCTTCATCTACAAGTTAATGACTTTGTCTGCTTCAAAATTCAATGACATTTAACAGTTCTTAGTTTGTTCAAGATCAAGAATAATGAAAAATAGATTGAAATTTTTTTTCATTGGCACTAAAGAATGGCAGCGCGAGGATTGCTACAAATCTCTTGTTTGTTCACGAACTATTTTCTCCGCATTCAAAAAACAAACTGCATTTAAATTTCAAGCACTGTTTGTTATAAGGCTCAATTTGTATTTGTACTCTTTCTAGCCTAAGGAAAAAATAATGTTAGCCAATATTCACATGTTTTAAAAAAGAATTCATGGAGATGCAGGGGATCGAACCCTGTACCTCTCGCATGCAAAGCGAGCGCTCTACCATTTGAGCTACATCCCCATCTGTTTAATATGGTGAGAAGTTTTATTTATCAATTCCAAATCTAAAATCTCAACATAAAATCCTTACGGCCATCACAACTGCACATTTGGATCATCTCACTACTAGATCCGGATACTCTCAAAGAGAATTAGTTTAAAAAAAACACATTCTTTCATGGTCTTGAAAATCAATAGTCGAATTGATTGACTGAGAACCAGTTAAGTAATCAGTTCAGTTTCACCCTAAAACCGTTCTTGGACCAAAAACCGTTGATTTGGTCAAAGACCCATTGACCCAAACAATGGTTTTTGGCATTTTTTTTATTTTTTAAAATCATAGCAGACCATTCGTTCAAACCAGACAGTTGGACCAGTCAAGTAATCAGTTCAGTGTCTTTTTTTATTTGGAAAACATTGCTGCCAAGTAGGACATTTTCTGGAGTAACAACAACGTTTTTTTGTTTGGTACCAATGTTCTAGGAAACGTTTTCAACACTGGTACCTATTATCCAATGCCACATCATGTCCCTGTCACTGCCACCTCATGTCCCTGTTAGTATCAATGAGTTGCAGCTCCAAGAAATGCCAGATTCAACATTGCTCTAAACCACACATTCTCGATTTCCAAGGCATGGCTTGGAGCACCATTTTTTATAGAAGAACAGTTCAAAACAAATAGGCATTTCCTTGAGCACCGTTTTTTCCAACATGGCGCTGATGTGTCACCGCTTTTTGGAGCAACGACAACGATGCCAAACAGACGCTAAATCATTTCTTACTATTTCCACTCATGTATTTTGTGGTATATTCCTAGTCATTTTAAGTCTCTTCCAAGGTTCAAAATTTCGACACTATATACTTTGTATCATGTATATTGTATCCACTACATTGTATCAAGTAAGGGTGTCAATTGGACTGTATTTGGTCCAATCCAATCCAATCCAGTCCAATGTGAGTCTATTATAAATGGACCAGGTCCAATCCAGTCCAATGAATATTTTGGACCATTTTGGACCAATCCAATTCAATGTCTGGACCATCCAATCTTTTCAAATTCATTTTGTTTTAGATTGGTTTCAATCCAAGCCTAGTCCATTGACACCTATATTCTTATCTTATATCAACATACCAGATATTGGCTTAATCCAACTCAATCCAATATAAATTTATTACGGATGGACCAGGTCCAATCCAATCTAATAAATATTTTGGACCGGATTGGTCCAATCCAATATGTCTTGTTGGTCCGTCCAAATTGATTTTGGACTGGATGGGGTCCAATCCAAAACCGGTCCATTTACAGCCTTAGTAGCAGGTATATTGAATTGTATTGGCAAGCATCCCAATATGAAAAATAAAGGCTTTTGGTGTTTTGACTATTTTCAGGGGGTAGGCAAACCTGAGAGCAGCCCCCTGACCAATTTTGAAAAGTAAAAAATAAAAAATAAATAAGTTATGAAGCTCTGTAACACCCAATGTATTATCAGGTGTTTCGATACTTTGAACAATACACATTTCTTCCTAACAAAGTGTAGTATGAAGTATTAATACTTTGAATGCAAAAGATGTTTAGTGGGGTTTTCATAATATAATTGGTTTTGTTTTCCAAAACAAAAACAGTTGCCATGTCAATAAAAACAATACAATTTTACTGATGTGGCAGTTATTTTTGTTTTCAAACACAGATCAGTCATGTTGTCCAACGCAACCTTAATTGTGTCAACGATTATTACAAAATATATATATATATAGCATTTGTTACTTTTTTTATTTTTTTCAATTTGATAAATTCATAAAGAGATACATTAGGGTGGGTGTTAATTAATGTTAAATGTTTAAACCTACTAAAAGGTTCCAACTCTCAGTATTTAGCCTTTTCAATGAGACCCTGAAACTGATACTCATTGATAATTTGAACCATAGATGTGAGTATTAATAATTTAATATTAAAAAATGCGGAGAAAAAAATAAGTCATTGTAGATTGTAAAGGGTTTCTTGCAATAAGGGCCACCGTTTGCCCTGAAGATCAATAAAAAGTAATATTTTTATAAAATAACTAAAATAAGATAACTTTTTTAGAAAAATATCAAAAAAAGGACAGGAATACTATTCATCGTCTTTTTTGCCTCTGTATTCATGCGAAGAAAGTCTGCGATGGTTCCACTATACTTTTATGTTTCATGGAGTATTCGTGTTAGTTGTTTCTCGATAAATCCATAAGGAAGAAAAGATGTTAATTAGTCAATCTTCATATGTCGCTGCGAGCCACAGCTACCCAAATGAATGGTCAGAACAAATTCAGTGGATGGTTGGTGGTGCCATTGACTTGTTTCTGCCGACTCACAGACTCACGGTTCTGAGCTCTATGCTATGGATCAAGAGGGTTCGAATGAGAGATGTCATGGCCACAGCTTGAACTTCAATGCACCGCTTCTATCAACAAGGCGTCTGATGGCAGCTGGTTCCATCGATGCAGACGCAAATGCAGATCCCCGAGGAATTGCTCGCGATATAAGTAAAAGGATCCCATTTTCATGGGAGAGATCTCCTAGAATGCTCAAAGACATTGAGAAAAGCGGCCTCCTTGCTGAGAGCCCACCACCTCCCAAGCTCCCATAGAGCCGATGGCGTCCTCCAGCGAAAGTGGCCTGTGATGATGATGATGAAGATAATTCAACGGACTGTGATGACGATACCGATGCCGACGACGATGAGGTTTTGCCATCAGATGTAATAGACGACAATTTCTCATTATCAGAGTCCATAGATATTGTTGATAGCATGAACCTTGGGGTGCGTGGATTGGAGCATGAAGGTTTGTTTAGAGATGGTGGAGTCTAGAGGAAATCACTCACCGAGTTTCATAATACGCCATTTTCTCCTGGCAGCAGATGCCTTTGCTTCTTCTTACTCAATTTCTTCAAAGAAGAAAATGCATAAGAGGGTTCCTTCTTCTTCTGCCTACCATTTTTCAAGTGATGACGATGATGATGAGTTGATCAGTGATATTCAAGTCCCAGAAACAGAAAGATTTATTCATCCCTGAAGTACACTGCCACGATCGTATACACCTGCCAAGGCGTGTGGGATTGCACCCTTCTTCCCTTGGCGCATGAAGCACACACTCTGCGGATTGGAGAGCCCTATCGGCATGGCTCTCCCAGTTCCAAATTTGATGGCAGTTCCAGACGAACACGAAATGCTTCAACCCAAGGAAGGTGGTGGTACGGTTGATTCATCATTCATGCCATAATATAATCCAGATAGGGTTTATTGCAGATAAGGTCCATGGAAAAGTAGAGTGGAACCATCTCACACATTTCTTCACATGAATACAGAGGCAGAGAATACGATGAACAGTATCCCTGTCTTTTTTTTATATTTTTCTTAAAAAATTATCTTATTTTAGTTTTTTTTACAAAAGTATTACTTTTTATTGATATTCAGCTCTTTTCTGCAAGAAACCCAATTGTAAATCCACCCGTAGACCGTAGGGCTGCAAGCCGGACTAGGCTTAGTTCAAAGTTCGAACCTAACTCAGAAAAACCTTAGAATGGTAGCCGCAGGTAAGCATTGATAGTCAATGCTAGTGTTTTATTTTCTGCCTGGTTTTTCTTCTTGAACTCTTATCGTATTTTGTTATGCATGTTTCATTAGTTACCATGAGTGGCTAAGCTTGCATGAACGATCGGATTGTTGTATTAAGCAGCCCTTGAATTAAATCTCTTAGACTGGGAAAACTTTGATTGTTGTATTTCGATTAACAGTCGGTTCGGTTCTGGGATCTAAAATTGTAGATATATTTCTGGTTTAGGATCGGGATAAGGGTTTTTAATGTCAGTTTGGACAGTTTTACCTTATCCTATTAAACCTTATTTAATTTCACGAATTAAATAGAAAATCAAACACAAATTTATCACATGAATAATGGATTTCGAAGAGAAGGTTATGCTAAAATTGATGAATGGGTACAATTGACAACACCTTAGTGGGACTCATTTAGATATGGGTCCGTAACTGCACATTAGACACGTGGTAATGTTAATAGAAAGGGATTTTTAGATTGTACTCTACTTGGGAAATCTGATTTGAACCGTAGGCCTGCAACAATTCAAAATTATAAACAGCTCCACTTATAACACTCATACCAGCTCGTGAATTGGCATCAATTTCAAGCTGACACTTATCTCCAACTGTACAGTGGAGCTAGGGTTTTCTGAGGTAGAGTGCAGTCTAAACTTTGGGGGGGATCTCCCCTTCCTTTCACTCTTGTGAAAGGAGTTGGGATCTTCTGTCAACAAAAACATGCTCTAACACTCTACCAATGTAATCTAACACCACACATCTCACCATGATACTAGGACCCACCATATATGAAATGTGAGATCAAATCAGCTCCCCACAGCATCCTGCTGCACAACATCTCTCAATGATGATGGCATCATCATTTCTGATATTATCATGAGAAATGTTCCCAATATACAGCGAGGATGTGTTGTGCGACTTGTGGGGGCCTGATTTGAACTCATGAAATGCATGGTGTTTGATCATGTTGGTAAAGGGTTGGAATGCATTTTGTTGGCAGGAGATCTGGATAGGACTGAAGGATCCCTTGTTCACCTCTAACAAAACACAGTCTATCCATCTACCACTATCTCACACGGCACATCTCATACATGGCACTATGGCAGGTCCCACTTTATGGTGGATCCCATTCTCATGATGAGATGTGCGGTGTCAGATCCAGTAGGTAGAGGGCAGGAATGCAAAGATCCCAATTCCCCATAAAAACTTTAGCTGTTCGGGGCCAACAACCTCTATTGTTGAGAGAATTTTTGGGAATGCCACGTTATTCTAAGAATGGGTAAATTAGTAATTATATGTTAATTTATTTTTACTAAATACCAAAGCATGGGCATGAATAAGTGAATTACCCAGAATGTGCCCAGCCCAAAAACTGTCTCAATAGCCTATGTTGTTGGGCCCCAACAGCCAAAGTTAACCCCAATTCTCCATGTCTCAAGTTAATCACGGTAAAGCTGAAATTTACATGGTGTTTGGAAGCGTGGATGTTTTTCGAGACCGATTTTTAAGCACCACATAGGATACACATCAGTCAACTATTGAGATAAACGGTTCACCGATAATTTGGTGTTTCATGCATCAGTAGGGTCCCGATTTTCGAGGCATACCCAATTTTTTAATAATCAACTGGACCAAATAATAAAATACATGAGTGTTTATTAAAACGCCTATATGAATCCGAAGACATAACACAATTTTTTAAAAAAACGGCCACGGTTCCAAACATCTCCTTAGAAGGACTGAAACGAAAACGAATTCACCTAAACTTCCGCTGCTCCCCAATCAAGCAATCACGATTCAGAGTTTGGATCTACTACCAACAATGCACTGCCAACATGTCCCAACCGGCAACTCCAGTCGCACACTGAAAACGATTCAGAGTTTGGATCTACAGCTGCAGTGGTCCGTTGGACCATTGTTGGTAGTGTTTTGTTGGTAGCAAACTCCTGCCCCACGACTCGGGTAGTTATTCAAACCCCGGAGCGGACGATCAGGATCCAGTCTTTGTTGTCCTACTCGTTCGACACTTAACAGCAAGAAACCCTATAAAGCGCCCATTTCCACGTTTAAATATTTTTAATTTTTATTTATTTTCATTTTTTCAATCTCTCCTCCCCAAAGCCCTCCTTTCCTCTCCTTGTCTGCAACTTTTCTTTCCCTTGTTCGCGCCGCGCCTCCTTTGATCTCTCGGCAATGTCGACGGAAAAGGAGCGAGAGACCCATGTTTACATGGCGAAGCTCGCCGAGCAGGCTGAGCGATATGATGGTCGGATATTGATCTGCATTCTCCTTTGCTTTAGTCGCATTGTTGTTTGGTTCTGTATTATCTTCCGGCATTTATATTTTTGTTGAATTGATAATGTATTTTGTTCCTTCGGTGTTTTCGCATTTGATCTCTAAAATTGAACCGTGTTTAGATCTCGATCATGTAGGGCTTCTGACGATCCTGATATGGTATTTAGGATCAGGTTTAGTTAGTGATTTTATTGTGAAATCACTGAAATGTGGTCGAAAGGAATGTTCGTTTGTCTTAGTAAGCTTAGGTCTTTCTTCCGTTTTAATTTGATTAGATTGTAATGCATGTTTCAACTTTCAATTGATGAAGGTCGTGTTTCGCATTCCACATATTTTGATTTTCAATGAAGTGCCATAGTGTTTTTCATTTATGTGATTTGTTTTCATGATGAATCATAATGAATGCCGTAGTGTCTCCTTTCCTTTTCTTTGATCGTTTTTTCAAATTTCATCTTTATCTCGTTTAAGAGAGATCGTTGCTAGTTCATGCATTGATTGGCGAACTACTTGTTATAAATTGCATGGACACGGGGATCGTAGTTTTCGTTTGGGTGGTCATTAAAATAAAAAAAAGGACCGATATCTATGCAATTATGGACTGCCAACGGGTGGAAAAAAAATTTACCAACTCATATAATTGAGAACATGCGTTGTGCATTCAAAAGCACTTTAAGTTTTAACATGTTACTGTGTTTTTCAGTTTACACCTAGTGATTAGGTTTTATTGACATCTATTTTTTATACATGATGACACAGAAATGGTGGAATGTATGAAGAAAGTTGCAAAACTTGATCTTGAACTAACTGTTGAGGAAAGGAACCTCCTTTCCGTAGGTTACAAGAATGTTATTGGTGCTCGCCGTGCTTCATGGCGCATTATGTCTTCCATTGAGCAGAAGGAAGAGTCAAAGGGAAATGAGCAGAATGTGAAAATGATCAAGGCTTACCGACAGAAAGTAGAGGAGGAGCTTTCCAAAATCTGCAATGACATCTTGACCATCATAGATGAACACCTGATCCCTTCTTCCGGTTCCGGAGAGTCAACAGTTTTTTATTACAAGATGTGAGTTGCATGAATACATTGCATTCGTCAATTTGGTGCTTATTACTGAACCCACAGTCTGCTGTTTGAAACACCCAAGGACGTTGTTTTAAGTAACTTTTAAATTCCTCATTGTATGGAACTTAGAAAATTGTCCGTGTAACATTATGTAGCTTTTTGAAAAATGAAAAAGAAAATGGTATTGGCGTCATGATGCTTATGCCAGGATGTGATGATGAGAACTCGTCCTCCCTCAGCACAGGGGTGAGGGTGAGACCTTCCATTTATTTACTGGAAGTTCGTGATTCTGGGCGAATAATTTTTTTTTTTTTTTTTAAATTAGGAGAAGAAACTAAAGCCCTTTCCCTGTTGTCTCTTATGCGAAAAAAATGCAGGAAGGGTGACTACTACCGCTATCTTGCTGAGTTTAAGACAGATCAAGAAAGGAAAGACGCTTCTGACCAGTCATTGAAAGGCTACCAGGCATGCTGCTCTCTCCTAAGTCTCACAATGGCTCAGTGCATGTTTACAAGGCATTCATTTATTACTTTGTAAATTTATGTTTCTATAACCTCCTGATCCCTTCTTTTGCATTGTCCTTTTTAGGCTGCTTCAAACACAGCAAATTCAGACCTTCCTCCAACCCATCCTATCCGTCTGGGCCTTGCCCTCAACTTCTCTGTCTTCTACTATGAAATACTGAATTCCCCTGAAAGGTAATTCCACATCTAGTGCAACTATCAAGTGAGCCGGTCCCCTTTGGTTTTTGGTTTACCTCCATTATCTGATGATTATTGTTACTGTTTTGTTGCAAAACTGTGTATTGAATATTGTAGGGCCTGCCACTTGGCTAAACAAGCTTTTGACGAGGCAATTGCAGAGCTTGACACCTTGAGTGAGGAATCATACAAGGACAGCACCCTCATCATGCAATTGTTGAGGGATAACCTCACCCTTTGGACCTCTGATTTACCTGAAGAAGGAGGTATTATACAGATCATTTAAAAATTAAAATAAAAAAAAAATGTCATGTTGTTTCTGTTTATGTCAATAGAGTTGGTATCTTTTGCATGTCCAGATGCCATCTGGTAAGTGGTATTTTTGCACTTGGACCATTGGGTTTAAGGAAGCAGATTTGTGATAACAAGAAGCTCTAGTCAACAACTTTTTTTATGGTAATCTTGTTGTCATCAGTTAACGTTAACCAGTTTGATCCATTTATGATAAGCTAATAGTAAAACTAGATATACCTTAAGATATGAGCAAGGCTCAAAAGGGATTCTGGCATGCCTCTGATAAATGGCTTGAATATCAACTTCTTATATGGAGCAATGACCTTGCACTTTAACAAGAGGTTAGATGTTGGGGGCTGCCAAACTGCTGGTATTTGGTTTGTTTAAGGAGGTGGTGACGTAGAATTTGGGTGAGATATTAAAAGGGATAGGATGACTTGTGTTTTTTCTTTTTTATTTCACTTGTTTTGGGGGTTCTTGGGTTTTGTTTTTGCTGTTCAAGTTTTGGCTGATTGGGTAAAAATGAAAAGGCAATTTAACAGCCTGCCTTGGATTCAAGTAGTTCAATCCTAAAATTCTAAGTAGGTGATCTATTTCAGTTTTAACAAACAAGCAATAAAGAGGAAACTAATTTGTCTGAGTTTATCTATATACTAGTAAGTGTGCACTTGCTTTGCACGTGGAAATTTTTTATGATGATTATGATAATAAATAATGTGTTTCCAAATTGTTTAACATTTTTTTTATATTTCTCTCTCTCTCTATATATATATATATATGTGTGTGTGCTCAAAATGTTTTCTACAAATTTTTTTATATTTTATACTTTTGTATGTTTTCATATTTCTCATTTCATTTATTTTTTACTCAATACTTTCTAATCCCATTTTTTATTGGCCTAAGAAAAAAGAATGGCATTCAGAACAGAGATGTTAGTATTATTCATCTAATCACATTTAGCAAATGAGGGGGTGTAGAATGGCACAATAATACATACTATTTGGTACACAACGAGCTGAGGTTACTTGTAATCAATTTAGGAATTGGCAACTGTTGAATGACCTACATAGGATCTGTTATTCAGAACTCCGGTACCATTGGATGTTTGCATTAACCTGTGTTTTGGTATTTTGGTCACTCGTGTGGGACACATGAGTGGCATTCCACTCCAATAATAGTAGCAAAACTATTAGCAATAGAATGGGAATTAAATTAATCTGACTGATCACTGAAGTACAAATATGTTTTGCAGGCGAAGATGGGGGTAAGAGTGAGGAAACCAAACCTGCTGAAGCTGAGGTAATCATCGCCTAGCTACTTAATTTTATTTTATGATTGTGAATAGGAATTTATCCACCAAAGGAGAAAAGAGAAATGAGAATTCAATTATTCTGCAAATCTTCTTCCATTGGAAAGAAATTTATTGACAACTTGCTGTGCAGCACTGATTAAGTCCTGAAAGGCTCTGCATGGCGCAATTCAATAATCAGTAGGGTACTCAGTTCTCAAAGTTTTGAAGGTATTATGCAAGCAGTGGTTTTCAACTTTTAAACTAGTGGGGTGGAAGAGACTTGTTACAAAAGCCAGTACTAATTTTTTAAGGTTTCTTTATGATTTGCACCTCTGGCCTGATTTGAACTTTTCTTTCTCCCCATGGTCATTGCCCCTTTGGTTTTAAAGAGAAAAGCAGCTTCTTTGTTGCTGAGAGTTGTAGACTTGTGGTGGTGCGGGTTCGTCGTTTTTTGTTTTTTTTTTTTTTTTTTTTTGGTTTATTTGTCTCTAGTTTCTTGATTCTCTTTCTCCAATGTCTAAATTGTACGTTTTCATTTTTCATAGAAATTAATCTCTCTCTCCTATAGCCAATCAAATTTTTGTTGCGAAGTCCCCGTCTAAATCGTGGCAAGCACGTGAAACTTGCCAATGGTGAACTAAATTCGATGGTTGGTTCATAACAAGTTTCAGAGGTTCGTAATTTGAACAGTGGCCAAAGAAAACTAGATAATCGTGAGCCAAATCGCTAATCTTTGAGTTCTTGACGTTAGCGTGATGGTTAGAAGCCACGTTTATTGATATTGGGGTGGGGATTACTAAATGGCTAAGGTTCACCAGGAACTGAATGGAATCAACCTCAAATTGGCTTTAAACTGATTTATCTAATATATATTAATAGGTGGGGTTTCTAGTTTTAAAGTCTTAGGGTCTGTTTGGTTCATAGGCGGAACCGTAGTCAGAATTGAAATCAGAATGGTTCATTCCCATAGTCTGTTTGGTTCAGGCAGGAATGAGAATAGGAATTAAAATCAGCAGGAATGGGATTTCATTCCCAAGGAAGGGGCAGGGAATGGCCATTCCCTCAAATGGGGGAATGCCATTTTAGCATAAACTAGAATGGGATTCCGATTCCATCCAACCAAACACTTGGAGTCAGAATAGCCCATTCCAATTCCGATTCCAAACCCCTATTGCCTTGGTTGGCCTTGTAGAATCGAGCTTGGAATCAAACTTTCTTTAAAACAAGTTCCAAAATACTTTGAGAATGTGATTATTTGAATTCAAGTACTTAATGATTATAATAAATCGGGTTGTGTCACCCATGTCTCAACACAAACTTAGACCGGCCCGACACGACGGTATGCTAGCCGTGCCAGGCTCGGCATGATCATGTGGGTCATGCTGGGCCTGAGGTTTTAGGTCCATGGGCCAGCATGGCACGGTATGGCCGAGCGGGTCATGCTGCCTATGACTTGCGGGCCAGCATGGCCTAGCCCAGCATGGCCCATATATATTATTTATATATTTATATATATTTATATATTATATATATTTATATAATAATATATAGTATATAATATATTAATAAAATAAATATTTTTTAATTTTATTATACTAATTTATTTAATTATTGTATATATAAACAATTTTATACACAATTCATATAAAATCTCAAAAGAGTTAAAACCACCAAGGTCAAAATCAACCTTGAAATCGAACAAACCAACCCATGCTCGCCCTTTTAAGTTGCCATATTGTATTAGAGACATGGGATCTAGTCCCTCTACACTTAGATTGGGGGTCTAGGGGTTTGGGTGAGGGCTACTCCCTCTTGTGTAGGCTCATTACCAATATTTGGGGAAATCTATGATGTCGGACCAATTAAAACTATGAGAGTTTTAACCAATTAAAACCCATTCATGAATTTTGATTAACACTACCTGATTGGCTATCATATTTATGATATCGGTTGATTTGTCACAAAATTTTCAGATGCCATGTATTTCCAATATCATAGGTATATTTGTGGTGTTCTGTGGGTAGCTGTAGGTGGCAAATCTAGATAACACTAGTGCTGGTATGATGTGGGAGTGTTGAACCTGTTTTTTTATTGTATGTATATAGGTTTGTGCACTTGAGATGGTGTACGGTAACAGGGTGATTGGAGCTTAAATCATAGTTTTTAAGCTCATTGGAAATGCAAAGAAATTTTTGGGCGTAAAATACAAAGCACGTATGTTCTAAATATTGATATAACGTGACAAATACATGACATAATAATTTGTATCATAAATGAACAGATGGCATAGGTGGAATGATCTTTGTGCCCTTGAATATTATTAATGGACCTATGGTGGCAATCATGATTGTTGCTACTAATTTTTTAATATGGAAGAGGTTAATAAATTGTTATTCAATATTCATCCTTTTTTTTACAGTTTTTATAAGTTGTTCTAATAGATTGGATACTTGGATTATTGCATCGGTGGTCCAAACTTGTTAAATTTATGGATTTTTTCCCAAATAATATAAAAAAAAAGTCCTAATGTTATAAAAAAAATAATGTTTTAAATTATTTTCTTTGCAGAAAACTATAAGATGAGTCTATCAATGATCTACTAATTTCATTGGTCTAACAACATTGTAGTCAAAGAACATCATTCTGGTATTCATCAGTGGTGACTAGTGAGAAGTTTTTCATTGGTTGCAGTGCAAATTTATTTGCATTAGTGTAAATGTATAGGAGTGCAAATGTAAAAAATGCAAATTCTTGTTTAATTTTATTTTGGATTTTACTTTATTCTGCTTCATGTTATAATTTATTTCATTTGTACCATAACCAAACAAAATAAGTAAAAATGAAAATAGATCAGAATTTACACTTAAATCATTTGCACTGCAATGATTTTGCATCAGTGCAAATTTATTTATATTGCAACCACACACAGCGTCATTAAAAAAAGATCAAATGCTGTTCATCGAAATGGAAATCAGCCAATCACTATTCATCCAAATTCACAAGGATTTTTTTGTTGGGTATGATTCTTTAGATACCACGTGCTTTTGGTGGCATACAAATTACTTAATTATCTAATTATTAATAAGTGGTAGTAACATTATTTCTATCAAAGAAATGGTAGTAATAAATACACTTTCTATACACCTTTATAGGGTTTGTTATTTGGTTAAAGAAGTTTAATTTTCCATAAACGATTGCCTTTTCTTTCAAGTAAAATGATAGCTCACATACGAGTGTTGTCACCCACCCCACTATAAGGGTTTGTTTGGTTCACAGGAATATGGGTTTAGAATTAAAATCAGAATGGTTGGATAATTTCGTTCCAGCCATTTGGTTGGGTGGAATCTGAATTTCATTTCTATGGCGTTCCCTTATTGAGGAAATGGTCATTCCCTTACTCTGTTGGGAATAAAAATTCATTCCAGTTTATTCCGAGTTTGAGGGATTTTGAATCCGATGGTCCAGTTTCAATTAAATTTGCAAACCAAATGGATCCGTTTGTTTCCACCCAATAACGCATAACAATGTTCTTAAACAATGTTTTAAACTAGGGGTGCCAATTTGATTGAATTTTGGTCCAATCCGATTTAGTCCAATGTGAGTCCATTACAGATGGACCAGGTTAAATCCAATCTAATGAATATTTTGGACCATTTTGGATCCATCCAATTCAATGTCTGGATGATTCAAATTTGTTTTAATTTAGTTAGTTCCAACCCAAACCTAGTCTATTGGTATAGTCTTATCTTCTACCAATGGACCAAATATTGGTTCGATCCAACCCAATCCAGTATAAATTTATTATAGATGGACCAAATCCCAATCCAATTCAATAAATACTTTGAGCCATTAAGTCTGGACTGGCCCAATTCAATATGTATAGTTGGTCTATCCAATCTTTTCAATTTGATTTTGGTTTGGATGGGTCCAACCCAAAACCGGTCCATTGACACCCCTATTTTAAACACTATTATTATCTATGAAGGGGCTCTCTAACCCTCTTGATTGTTTGTTTGTTACCTGACTGACTTGGTGGGTGTTTGATATCATGGACTCATGGTGAGGTGTGCTAATGCAATTGAGGATGAAACATATACAACACACCCAATGTGTAGTGTGCTCATTTTGTCCATAAATATGTTTGGCGTGGATAAAAATGTTGATAGGTGTTGTAGAAATTTTTCTATTTGAATTACAACTATAACTAGGGGTGAGCATTATTCAGTTAAAAAAAAAAAAACTGAACCAAAAATTGGGTTTTGATTTTTCGGGTTTTGGTTAATTCAGTCCAGTTAGTTATTTTTTTTTCAATATTTTGATTTCGGTTTCAGTTTTTGGAATTAGAGATTTGGTTAACTGAATAAATCAAAATTCATTATATTATAATATACAATATATATTATATGTTATGATATATATAAGATATTATATATTATTAAAATTCGGTTTTAATCAAAATAACCAGAAAACAAGCCTAAAATTTTGGTTTTGGTTTTTAAAAATTTGGTTTATTCGATTTGTTTCTTAACCGAATATAAACTGAATGCTCACCCCTATTTATAACTTGTCACGTAATAAGCTACGTAAGCATTACTTCATTTGAACCTTATATTTGAAACGCAAGAGCTCCGACAGCCATTGAAGGAAACATTTATTGGATGTTTTAGTTGGTTGCATTGCATTGCATTCTGAGGTGTGGCCATTATAACCCAAAACAGTCTAGCCAAACATGTTTTGTTTATGTTTTACTTGAAGGACAAATTAGACGCTGATGAAGGCCTGAGGCAGAATTGCAACACCTCCATACCAAACATCCTTGGTTAATGGTCTTGAAATAGAAAATAACATAATTTCTCTTTTTAACAAAACCTCATGGACAGGTTTTGTCCACACCATGGTAAATCGAATGATTGTCATATCTAGGAGGTGTTTCGGTTCACGGTTTAAAAGAAAGACTAGTATGGTTTCAGAAGGGGTGTCAACGGATTGGTATTAGGTTGAACGGTGTCGATTTTGGATTGGACCCCATCCAAACCAAAATCAATTTAGATGGATTGGATGACCAACAAGACAAATTGGACCAGTCCAGACTTAATGGTCCAAAGTATTTATTTGATTGGATTGGATTTGGTCTATCTATATTGAATTTATATTGGATTGGGTTGGTTTAACAATCTGTTACGGGAACATTGATAGCAAACAATATTGAAGAGGAATTTTTGAGGAAGTTTAAGGATCCTGAGGGGTCTCGAAAACGTTTCTCTACGGTTCAAAGTTAGGGGCTGTAGGCCCCTCAAAGAAGAGGAAAGTTGCATCTTTCTCTAGTGTGGGGAATGAATTAACACATCATTTGTGGGAGGGGGAGAAAGGTGGGAAAGAGACTTGTGAAAAAGTTCCAGGTCATAGAAGTGATGAGGTGGCATGTAGTGGATGTACTGAGAGTTCAAATTCACGGGCTTCGGTGGTTGTCCCTCTACAACCTCAAGTGGACCCATGAGGATCTTAGCGTGGAACTGTAGAGGTTCGGGGTGCACCTCTACAGTTCAGGAACTCCAAGTACTCAAT